AAAAAAAAAAAAAAAAAAATTCTAAGTTATTGACAAAAAATAAACGCTCAAAGTGCTATATGAAAATTCTCTCTCATGGGAGCCTGATTTGCACAATATTACCATGATTCAGTAAGACGATTTACAAATGTGAGGCGCTTTTAAAAATCGATGCCACAAAAAACCAACTTTCAGATGTTCTCCAAGTGTTTTGGAGACAATAGCCAACTTTTTCGGCGATTTTGTGTTAAGAATCGATAAGAAAAATAATAAACAAAATAAAAAAAAAAACATTCTGAAACTTTTATTCGTCACGGAGTGCGCTAATTGTAGTACGAACTAAAGTAAGAATTGTAAAATGCGGAAGCAAACAACCGAAGATTAATAAACTCTTCAAGGAAGCGTCCCACTTCCCCTCAGAGCTCTTTCATTGATAGATCACTCGTATACATAGTTTGGACTTACAAAGATTCGAACTCCCTTCAAATCTAGCCAACACTACTTGATCCTATCAACTAATTCTCCGGCCACGTCCCGTGGACTTATAAACCTACACTTATTCCCTAAGTGTACAATCCGTAGAATAGTTTTGATGAAATGTATAAAGAACTAAACGAAAGCAGTACTAGTCCTTGAGTTTGTAAGAACTCTCAGACTGAACTGAATACAATCAAAATAGAACCGAATGCAAAAAGTGAAGCTTGAATGGCTCTTCGAATATTTCTCAATCACAATCCCCGGCCGCCATAAGCTTCTTCTAGGGTATATATATGATCTCCTTAGGGTTGGAGTCTTCTACAAGGCATAGGTCTTCAGTCAAGATTTCCTTCCAAGATAATAGGATAACTTTGGCAAGAAATCTTCTATTCTCTCTCATTGATCTCCTCTCCAAGCATGTCTCTTTTCTCCCTCTTCTTTATCTCTCCACGTGCAATTTCCTATCATATAAAAGCCGTAATAAGATCTTCATGGATTTATATATGGAATATAAAATAATATTACTTAAGGAAACATAATATACAAAGATCTTCCCTTTTATTCTGTAGTTCCAGGTGCTTGTTCGAACTAACGAACTAATGCCAAAATAAAATATCTTTCACATTCAAAATCTGTAAAACCAATAATCATGAAATAATAAACGAAATAACGAAGGTGGATAACAGATCCTTTTAAATCTACAATGTTTTCGACCGATTTCATCGACTTGCTATAGATTAGCAAGCCGATATTGAAAATCTGGTCGATTTTTATGTTTTATCTGCTCTTGAGTTGGAAAATTCATATTTCGCGTGTTTTTTTGCTTTGTTTCGGATTGTAGAACGGAAAATATGCCGCTGAATCATGCTTTTTTGTAATATTCTCGGGAAAATTTTGGTTCAGAAGACGAGAGAAGAAATGAGAGGTTTGCAGACAAAATGAAAAATGGAATGAGACGGACGAGGCGGTGGTTACGGGTAGTGAAACCTTTAGGGTTTCTAGACTCTTCCGTTGACCGGGCCAACTTTTCTAGAGTAAATTTATACGGACCCAATTTTTACTCCACATAGTAATATAGGCCTAAATTTTATTGGACCCATATTCTCAAGCCTATTTTAGGATCATTCTGCTTGATAAATTGACCAGAAATTTTAGGCTATTAAACATAACTGATTAAGATCGTATATCGGGACTCGATTTTGTATAAGAATCTGCGCTAACGGTCTTGGTTCGAACACGATAAAATGTATACACACGCACTGACGGCCTTGATTTACACATTAATAAGTGAAAAACCTACACTGTTGGTCTCGGTTTTTCACCAAAGAGAGTACTCGGAAACGAGTCTTTTTTTTAAACTTTATTTCATTAAACTTCTTCTTTTTACAATAATGAGTACATGGCTTTTTATAGCCGAAATCTAATCATTCAAAGATTCAAATTATAACTAACTATTCAAATTTAAATTATAACTTACATATTAATCCCATCTAAATACATTAACATACATAACTAAAATTAACTACTCCCGCCATCATCCACGTGATCCGATTTCCACTCGAAAGTCCAGTTCTCAGCAATACCACACAACTCTTTATTCGCGGCCCAATATATATATATATATATATATATATATTTGGCTAAAAAATATTCTTAATATGTGAAAAAAAATCTCGGCTCAGTTGTTCATTCTGAATATTTAGGAAGCCATTTTTTTCTTTTTCTTATTTATTTGAAACTTACTACAGCTGATTAATCTCGGCACGGGCCAACAACTGTGGGCAACACCCACAGCAGCGCCAGCTCGTCGTTGATTAATCTCAGCACCCGCCGACTACACCAGCATCGAGTCAATCCCGTTGGGCCCGGCAACCGTGGGAAGCTCCCACAATAGGGCATGCTCGTCGTCCCCTGCGAAGCATATGTGCCTGCAGGCTCTACTGGGCCCACGAGATTGTATTCACGCTGGTCGTGTTCCTCATCAGCTCGGCCACCGGCACGAAATCACGAGTTTATTATTGTCCATCAAGAAAGGTAAAAGTTGCAAAACATTATAAAAAAAAATAGAAATTGCGATATGAAGTTCATACCTTATACAATTTGAAGTAACAGATCACTCGTTTTGATTTCCGGAAGGATTTATGTGAGCTAATCCTTCCTTTGCTTGCAATCGGATGTTTTAAGAGTACCGCGATTGAAATTGAGAGGACGGAGGTTTTGGGAGTAACAAAAATACTTGTATGCGCTTCTTTTTAAAAAAAAATAAAAAATAACATCATATCTAATTTAACTGTTAGTTAACAGAGTTAATAATAAGCACTACAAAAAAATTGTTATATTCCAACGGGAAATCGATAATATATTCCAATAGAAATTCCAACGGATATTCCAATGGTATAGCTTCCGTTGGAATTATTCCAACAGAAATTCCAACGGGTATATTTCCAACGGCATTTGATCGTAGGAATTTTCGTTGGAATATGCAATTTCCGATGGAATTTTTATTTCCACCACCGTTGGAATCGTTAAGATCCAACGCAAATTCTAATGGAAAACTCATTCCAACAGATATTTTTGTTGGAATTTGTATTGGAATAATTCCAACGGAAATAACATTGAAATATCCATTGGAATTACAATTAAAATTATATGAAAATATATTTCTGTTTGAAATTTTATCATTATCTTATAGTGAAGCCTTAATTTAAGAATTGTTATCAACTGGGTATAAAAATTACACGGGAATCCTACGAACTGATATGTATTTTTCAGTTCTTACAAATAATCTATAAAATAGAAAATTACAATCGAACTGAAAAATAAATTACAACCAAAAAATAAATTAAAAATTAAAACGGAAAGATTTTAGCCGAGGCGAGTAAAACTCTTTCCGCAAGAAGAATACGCCTCGTGTGGCAGCTAACGGTTCAGGCGTAACTTCCCCAAAGATACAACGGCAAACGTCTCTAAATCTGTAGCACACCAAATTTACGAGCTCCAGCGAACTGAAAAGGAATCGAGAATTGAGCACTAAAAATAAAAATATATATAATATTTTTTTTTTCCTCTCCTTCTCTTTTCTTATTCTCTCTCTTCCTTTCTTTTTATTTGCTTCTCCTTTCTTTCTCTGCGTGTTTCCTTCTCTTTTTGTGTGTTTTGTGTGTTTCATCAAATAATATGATGTCCCATTATATAAGTGTGAAGAAAGCATAATATCATTGACATTTTGGTTTGTTAGGAAGAATAAAAATATGGTAGATGAGGTGGTTGAGAAGAATAAGTATCAATTTGTTGGGAAGTATCAATTTGTTGGGAAGAATAAGAATAAGCATCAATTTGTTGATCTACTCACAATAAAAATTGTGTCCCAATTTACACTCAATAACAACAATCCCCCACATGAGTGTAAATTAAATATATATATATATACTATTGTGCTCAATCCTCACAAAACTCTATTGTATCAGAAAAGGTAGCTTTTGACTTTGAACCTTTCTTAGTAAACATCATCGGATGCACAGGCGGACTAGTGAACATAATGCCTTGAACTATTCCTCCATAGTGTAACCGAGACAATGACATTCACACAATAAAGTCTTAACTCCATTCCGTTCTATCGTTGTGTCCGTTTTGGCCATGGACAACACAATGGATTCATAAGTGTTTACATTTGAAGCGGCCCACACTTCACACTTATATAGGTGACCTCCCTGTCAAGAGTATCCTGCCATACTCCACCTTTACAAGGTTAGGGATTCATTAAAAGTCCATATGACTTACCCTCACCACAATCAACAGGTCATCTTTCACTTGGAGTTCTCTAGGGAATAACTTTGAACATTCATATGTTCCAAGTGTTCAACTGAATTTTCATAGCTTAGTTTTCCCTTTGAACCATGTTCATGGGATTTCCACTCAGCATGGTGATATTCATCATATTTTCATGCATTATGAGTGATATATTGTGATATTTGGCCCTGGTTATCGTGTGATTGTGCACCAATTCGTTTTATTTATTAAACTATGATAGAGGTGTTTTTGTCGTTGTTTTTGCAGGAAATATGCCCGAAAATGCGTTGGAGATGGAATCGGGACGAAAAACGGCGAAAACGGGTGCAGAAGAGGTCACACGACTCGTGTGGGTAGTGACACGGGTCGTGTGGGTTGAGAAAATAAGAAACGCAGCTACGGCTTTTTCACACGGGTCGTGTGGCTTGTCACACTGGTCGTGTGGCCTCACACGACTCGTGTGACCCGGTCGTGTGACCAGTCGTGTGAGTCTGAAAGTTCGCCGAAACGTTGAGAAAAGTCACACGACTCGTGTGGCATGTGACAAGACTCGTGTGACGCGCAGACCAGACCTGCGGGGAATAGGATTCTTGTGCGATTTCTTCCCTTTTTCGACCCAGAATAGCCCTACAGTATAAAACAGACCTTAGGAACTCGTTTTTGGGACTTTTGACACCATTGGAGGCCTAGAGAAAGCACGAAACACACGAGGGATTCGAGGAAGTCAAGATTGAAGATCCGAGAACTAACGGCGACAATAGTTCTTCTTTCTTTTCTCTTTTTCTTCTTCATTGAACTCATGAATATATTTATTTTGAGCTTTGAGAATATGTTTAGTAGCTAAACCTTTTACGGATTCTAGGATTTGCGAGTACTCGGATTATTTTATGAAGTGATTTTGTTTATTCATTCCGGTTTATCATTCGTTTATCAATTTCTTATGCTTTTGTTTATTGTGTGAATATAAGGGCCCGTATTTATGCATATTTGTGATTGACTTGAGACCGAGAGGAGATAGTTGGTTGCTAGAATTGGGAAATTCATAACGTAAGAGACTAAACAGACCGAGAGGTTGATAGAATCTTGCGAGGGAACTAGAATCTTAGGAGCTTATGGGAGTTGATTGTTCATCTTGAGACCGAGAGGAGATAGATAACAATTAATATCTACGATTTAACTTGTTCGAGAGAAAGGTGTAAATTACTTTAGTGATTATCCTTACGAATGGTAGAATTAAATAAGGTTTGAATGAATAATTAATCTTTGTTAGAATAATCCCGAGGAAAGCATAGCCTAGAATCTATTTTCTCATTCTTGATTTATCTTAGAACAAGCCTTCATTAGTGTTAGAATTTTTTTGCAATCATTCATTAGTTTAGAATAAAAACACCATTCAAATTTGCAATAGGCTAAATAATATTTAATCGTTTATATTTTGATACTTAGTTAATTTTGACAACAATCTCTGTGGAATACGACCTTACTCGCCACTCACTACAGCTATACCGTACACCTGCGGATAGTGAAAATATTTTGCGAACACATGGTAGGGTTACCAATATGATCATTCTTTTCATTGTGGGATTTTAAGCCCATTCCCTCTAGCAAAACTACCAATTGATCTCTATTCAATCCTTTCGTCAAAGGATCAGCCAAATTTTCTCTAGACTTCACATAGTCAATGGAAATAACACCATTTGTGATCAATTGGCGTACGGTATTATGTCTACGACGAATATGTCTAGACTTACCATTATACAAGTTACTTTGCGCCCTACCTATAGCAGCTTGACTATCACAGTGAATCATCACAGGCGGCAAAGTCTTATCCCAACATGGAATATCGGATAAAAAATTTCTAAGCCACTCGGCTTCTTCACCAGCTTTATCTAAAGCTATGAACTCCGATTCCATCGTTGACCGAGCTATACACGTTTGTTTTGTGGATTTCCACGAAACTGCACCTCCTCCAATACAGAAAACGTATCCGCTAGTGGAGCGAGAATCTCTCGAATCTGATATCCAGCTTGCATCACAGTACCCTTCAAGTACGGCTGGGTATCTCGAGTATTTTAGCCCGTATTCAAGAGTGTACCTTAAGTACTTAAGTACCCTTCTCAAAGCATTCCAGTGTTCATGACTGGGATTGCTCGTAAATCTACTCAACTTATTCACCGGGTAGGCCAAGTCTGGTCGTGTACAATTCGTCAAGTACATCAGACTTCCTATTATCCGTGAATATTCCAACTGAGCCACTGGTTGACCTTTATTGGCTACCAGATTTATACTGAGATCAATGGGTGTCTTACACCTAGACTGTGCACCGTCATAGGTATCAAATTTCTTGAGCACTTTCTCTACATAATGAGATTGTGACAAGACAATTCCATCTTGGGTTCTGATAATCCTTATTCCAAGAATAACATCAGCCAAACCCATATCTTTCATGTCGAAATTTCTTTTCAACATTCTTTTCGTATCCATGATCACTTCATGGCTACTCCCCATGATCAACATATCGTCTACATATAGACATACAATCACAAATGCATTTGATGTACTCTTGACATAAACACATTTGTCACATTCGTTGATTTTGAACTCATTTGATAACATCACGTCATCAAATTTCAAATGCCATTGTTTCGGAGCTTGTTTCAGTCCGTACAAGGATTTGATCAATCTACACACCTTTCTCTCTTGTCCAGGTGCAACAAACCCTTCAGGTTGTTCCATGTATATTTCTTCTTCCAATTCACCATTTAAAAATGCCGTCTTGACATCCATTTGGTGAATCTCAAGATTGTGCAAAGCAGCAATCGAGAGAAGCACTCTTATCGACGCTAAACGCGTAACTGGTGAATAGGTATCAAAGAAATCATACCCTTCCTTTTGTTTAAAGCCTTTGACCACCAAACGTGCTTTAAACTTATCAATCGATCCATCAGCTTTATATTTCTTCTTTAGGATCCATTTACATCCTAAAGGTTTACAACCATCAGGGAGATCAACCAACTCCCAAGTATGATTTTGCATAATGGACTCGATTTCGCTATTTACAGCTTCTTCCCAGAGTGGTCCATCTGGGCTTGACAGAGCTTCCTTAAGGGAACTCGGTTCATCGTCCAACATATACGTAATAAAATCAGGTCCAAACGTTTTCACCGTTTTTACCCTTTTACTACGTCTCGGTTCTTCATCAGTACCATCTGGTACAGAACCACTAGCAGTTTCATATGTTCGTTTATTAGAACTAGATTCTGCCCTTTCCTTTAGAGGAAAAATATTCTCAAAGAATATAGCATTCCTCGACTCAATCGTGGTACCAACAGATACCTCTGGATTTTCTTATTTATGAACCAGAAATCTATATGCTGTACTATTGTACGCATATCCAATAAATACACAATCGATCGTTTTTTGCCCGATTTTCATTTGTTTGGGTTCCGGTACTGAAACCTTAGCCAAACACCCCCACACTTTCAGGTATTTATAAGACGGCTTACGATTTTTCCACATTTCGTAAGGAGTCTCATCTTTCCCTTTAGGTGGTATTTTATTCAGAATATGATTTGCTGTTAAAACAGCTTCCCCCCACATGTTTTGAGGTAATCCTGAATTTATCAACATGGCATTCATCATTTCTTTTAAAGTACGGTTCTTGCGTTCAGCAACACCGTTTGACTGTGGAGAATAAGGGGCAGTCGTTTGATGAATTATGCCATATACGGAACATATTTGTTCAAAAGGAGCTACATACTCCCCACCCCTATCACTTCGGATTATTTTAATCCTTTTGCCGAGTTGATTTTCAACTTCGGTCTTATAGATTTTAAATGCTTCCACAGCCTCGTCTTTGCTTCTTAATAAATATAAGTAGCAAAACCTTGTGCAATCATCGATAAAAGTAATAAAATACTTTTTACCTGTTCTTGTTTGCACACTTTTCATATCACATACATCAGTATGGATTAAGCCTAATGGTTCAGTACACCTTTCCACCGAGTGAAAAGGCAACTTAGCCATTTTTGCTTCAATACAAATTTCACATTTCTTATGTGATTCAATTTTAGAATTTGGAATTAATTCTAAATTCATCAACCGTTTAATTGCATTTCAATTTATGTGTCCCAATCTAATATGCCATAAATCAGTACACTCAACTGTATAAACAGAAATAGGCTTTTCATTATCATTTAAAACGGTTACACGGCTCACGGCCATTACATTCATTTTAAACATACCCTTGTCGAGATAGCCACGACCAAGGAAAGTTCCAAACTTGCTAAGAACAAATTTCTTAGCATCAAATACCAACCTAAATCCATGCTCAACAAGAAGAGATCCGGAGACCAAATTCTTGCGGATGTCTGGGACATGCAGAACATCCTTAAGCTTCAACTCCTTTCCAAAAGTCAGCTTCAGCACCACAGTGCCCACTCCAGCCACATTAGCCGTGGCGGAGTTTTCCATGTAAAGTTTCCGACTCTTAGCAGGAGTGTATTCAGAGAACATCTCCTTATCGGAACACACATGACGAGTGGCACCAGTATCGATGTACCACTCCCTTGGTTTATACACTATATTGGCTTCAAACACCACAGCCGACATATCAAAGTCGGTCAGTTCACCCGGCACAGGGCCGTGTTCAGCCACAAGGGCACTCGGTTTACCTTTCTTTGGCCCAGCCTTCTTTGGCCTCTTGCAGTCTTTAGCCATATGGTTCGGCTTTCCACAATTATAACAAGTTCCGGTAAACTTCCAAACCTTGGCAGGCTGCTTCCCTTTGTCTAGGGACTTTCTCTTGCTCGAGTTGCCTTGCTCTATCAAGTTAGCACGAGCCTCCATCATCGGAATTTTCCCCGATGAATTACGATTGTCCTCCTCAATACGAAGACGAACAATCAAGTCTTCAAGACTCATTTCCTTCCTCTTATGTTTGAGGTAGTTCTTGAAGTCTTTCCAACCCGTCGGCAGTTTTTCAATCACAGCCGCAACTTGGAATGACTCGCTCAGAGACATTCCCTCAGCATGAATATCGTGCAAGATGAGTTGGAATTCTTGCACTTGTGACACAACGGTCTTTGTGTCAACCATTTTGAAGTCAAGAAATTTTCCGACGACGAATTTTTTCGCCCCAGCATCCTCGGTCTTGTACTTCTTTTCCAAAGCAGCCCAAAGCTCTTTGACAGAACCAACCGAGCTGTACACATTGTACAACTCGTTACTAAGTCCGTTCAGGACATAGTTACGACAAAGGTAATCACCTTGCCCCCAAGCTTCGTACGCAGTGCGTAGTTCAGTATTGGTCTCATTTTCAGCAATAACTGGGGGGTCGTCCTTTAGGTATTTCACCAAACCCAAAGTGGTCTGGTAAAAATGCATCTTTTGTTGCCACCTTTTAAAATCAAGCCCATTGAATTTTTCGGGCTTCTCGGCAGTAGGTACATGGACAGCAGGTACATGATTGATCGGATGCTGAGTGTTGGAACCATTTCCTGTGGAAGCCATCAGTCCAATAGGTTGATTTATTATTCTTGCGATTGTTATCAACTGGGTATAAAAATTACACGGGAATCCTACGAACTGATATGTATTTTTCAGTTGTTACAAATAATCTATAAAATAGAAAATTACAATGGAACTGAAAAATAAATTACAACCGAAAAATAAATTAAAAATTAAAACGGAAAGATTTTAGCCGAGGCGAGTAAAACTCTTTCCGCAAGAAGAATACGCCCCGTGTGGCGGCTAACGGTTCAGGCGTAACTTCCCCAAAGATACAACGGCAAACGTCTCTAAATCTGTAGCACACCAGATTTACGAGCTCCGGCGAACTGAAAAGGAATCGAGAATTGAGCACTAAAAATAAAAATATATAATATATTTATTTTTTTCTCCTTCTCTTTTCTTATTCTCTCTCTTCTTTTCTTTTTATTTGCTTCTCCTTTCTTTCTCTGCGTGTTTCCTTCTCTTTTTGTGTGTTTTGTGTGTTTCATCAAATAATATAATGTCCCATTATATAGGTGTGAAGAAAGCATAATATCATTGACATTTTAGTTTGTTAGGAAGAATAAAAATATGGTAGATGAGGTGGTTGAGAAGAATAAGCATCAATTTGTTGGAAAGCATCAATTTGTTGGGAAGAATAAGAATAAGCATCAATTTGTTGATCTACTCACAATAAAAATTGTGTCCCAATTTACACTCAATAACAACAAGAATTAAAAAATAAATATGAAACCTCCACTGAGAATATATAAAAATTGAGATCTTGTATTGAAAAAGATATTAATTGAAGCCTTAACATGATAGAACACCTAAAAATTGAGCCCTGTAATGAAATTTTCCCAAATAAATCCGGCATGATCCAAAAGACTCGCCATTGTAATTAAATAGATAGTGATGTGGCAGTCATTTAGGCAATCGGATTTTTCTTTTTTCTTTTTTCTTTTTTTTTTCTGTGGAAGAAAAAAACACGATAATGTGTATGGCAATTAATTACTGTTGAAAATTGATATACGGTTAAGTTTATTTTCACCTTAGTTGGCCATTAATTTAATAAGTAGCTTCATTCCAAGAAAATAAAACCCAGATGCATATGCTATGTGTAGACTGAGTAAATGATCCAAAATCAGATAGACTGTTGTGGCCATTACTAAAATAAAAAGGTAATCAATTCATCTAACTAAAAATTCACTGGAACAGAGAAATTATTGAAAATCATGAACTTCAGAATTAATCATCAAGACATATTCCAATATTTATAGCATTACTGTCTTTTCCTCTACTCTGTTAATAATTTTGGTCAACCAAAACAACCTCACAACGTGGATACATGCCACCTTTTATATAATGCTACAAATTGTCTCTTGCGAGAGGCAAAATTCTCGCACAATTTTGCCAGCTCCTCTTAGTTGTTTTTATTTCTAGTTAATTAACATCTGACCCTGTAGAATATTCTTCCTCCCTGTCNAAAAAAAAGAAAAAAAAAAAGAGAGTAAAGGAACCTAGTTAGAAGTTCAATTGATCTTGGATTTTTAAACCTAAATCTAATTTGAATTTGATTTTCCATAACAGACTATTAACAGTGTCAAACTATATTCTTATGTGAATTGTCTAGAGCAACTTGTATGATTAGCATAATTTAATAAGTGTTATTTCGTCAGGCCTAAAAGTTTATTTAATGTTTACCAAATAAAAGATAATGGTTGAAAGTTCTCGATCGTCATCAACAGATAAAGGAAAAAAAAAAATCCTTGTTACTATCACGATTCTCTTGACGGCAAAAGAGACAGCGGGACAAAACTAAGATTGTAATCAAATGAAACAAACCATGTGCATTCTAATTATAAAGAATAAGAAGAAAAATGATGTAATAATGGAAGATTAATAAATAATTAATAAATAATAATACATATAAACTGAGCCAATGAATAGATGTATTCAATATCCACAACGCCACATGCCAGAGTAGGTCTGATGTATTATCAAGTGATAGCTGGCGTATTAGACGACCGTACAATAAACCATATCAAGTGATATATGTGGAATTAATTATTGATAATAATTTTAATTTTATGTTGGATTTATAATTATATGTTATTTGTACAATGTTATAATTGCTCGATTGGAGAATGTCTCTGGCATATATGGACTACCAAGTAGCAACCCACATGGCCTTTCATACATTGCAAGACATGAGGATCAAAATATAATAATATTAGGTTCCATTTGTAGAAAATTGCTATATGCACATATATCCGCAAATTAACGGATAATATATATATATATATATAAACAAAGGAATCAAGTGGAAAAAAATTAAATAAAAAATTCTAGACCAAACACAAAAACCCATATTCTTAGATAGGGTTTTTTTAATTAAATTTTTTAAAAAAACGTATTCTCAGAATACGAATTTGTATATGTTCCCTTAAATCATTTTTGGAGTTACTTCAACATTTAATAAATAAGAATAATAGTGGATACTCCTGCTATTATTACCAATTAATTTTGTATGAAACTTCATTAAGATGACAATTGGGATCGCCTTTTAAATGTGTGGTTCAGTGTGAATACATTCCTTTTTGTCAAATCCCAATCGAACCAAAGTTTTAAAGTTTGGGGGCTCAAATTTCGTTCAGACCATCAATCTGAATGTTTCTCAATTTATGTACTTCAGACCAAAGTAGTCGAGCCAAGTGCACGAAATCGGCCCCAAGGCCTCATAATATAAGCACAAACCCTCTCTATTTGGGGCTCAAGGGCCCGAACCACCAAACATCCTAAATATATCAATTTTAAAATCTTTTTCATCAACTTTTTTTCTTGAAAGATTACCTCTGAAAATACATGAAATTGACATTTTGCCTCTTCTATTAAAAACGCTAACAAGACACAAAAGGTGTTTTTAATTCAATTAACGATGAATTTTAAAGGAACCTTTAAAATTGATTTAGGGCTTTTAAAGTTAATGACGAGAAAAAATGAGATAGGATCTGAAAACTGATTGTCGATAATCGACGGACGAAGAAGGTAGCCATGCGTGTGTGTGTGCATAAATAACATTTCAGATCATTTTTTTTAGTCAACATATCAGATTTTTTATTGGGAGGTGTCATTTGAATGCTTGCCAGACGATTTTTCTAATAAAGTAAATCATATAAAAATCAAATAGTAGAATTTTGATTAGTAGCCTAAAAAACTATATATTAATCAATTTATTTGACTAGCTAAAATTCGAACATTGGATTTTCATAATATTTACTTTTTTTTATATATTTTTGCGAATTAATATTTACCTTGTTAGAAATTCGTTTTGCAAGCTTTCAAATAACACATCCTGATCGAAAGTCGATTATCTTGATTATCAAAAAATAGAACCTAATTTTGTTCTATGCACAAGTGTGTCTATCTTCTTCGTCAAACGATTACCGATGTATCAATTTTCAAAAATCGATAGACCATACCTCATTTTCTTCGTCTCGTCATGAGCTATAAAACCGCTAAATCAATTTGAGAGATCAATTTAAAATTCATTGATAATTGAAATAAAAATATTCTTGTTTCATATTAGTGTTTCTAATAAAAAAAGACAAATTGCCAGTTTTACGTACTTTGGACGGTCATATATTTGGGAAAAGAAAAAAAAAAAGTCGTTAAGAGACAAAATCTAAAAACAACCATAATTTGAGAGGTAAAAGAAAAAAGTTTCCATAATTTAACGTAGACGTTGTCCTTTTTTATTTTATTTATTTATTTATTTATTTTTATTTTTTTTTTAAGACGTTGTCCTTTATATGTAAGGACACATTGCAAGATATATAGAGTGATTTACCCTTATCTTGAAAAGTAAAAACAAATTGGAAATGTAAAAGGAGTCTTGAGGTTGATTTTTAAGATGAGATGTGCATGCTGAGTAGTGGTGGATCTTGGTTTTATGAGACATACGGCAAGGAAGGAAGAGGTGACCATGTGCAAGATCCGATAACTCCACTATTTCCCGATACAACTATTAAAGCCATTCTTTGTGGCCCCACCAAGTTATCTTTATTACTATTTTCTATTAGTTGGACCCGTGAACCCAATTGATAATGAGTTCCCAAGTAAAATTATTTGGGCATGCTTGTTTATAAACTGAATTGCAAAATACCACCCCTTTTTACCACTTACTTTCTATCTGGACAAATTTGTTCCTGACATTTTTTCTAGAAAGTACAAAAAAAGAAAAAAAAAATCTCTTGCCATCCGGCACCATGCACGGCCGGTTTTGTCGGCCGAACGGCGAGGGATTTTTTTTTTTTAACCTTTTAGAAAAAATGTCAGAGGTAAAATTGTCCAAAGTGGGGTGGTACGTAGTAATAGGGGGACAATAAATAGTAGCACCCTTTATAAATTATTTCATTCACATTTAATTAATATTCAAAATCTAACTCAACTTTAACTCAACTCCACTATCTTTAATATTATTCATATAATTAAATAATACAAACCAATCATTCTTTCACTATTCATCAACTCACATAATTTTAACTACCTATCATTTCCAATCATTTATCTCCTACTTTTACATCAAATTAATTTAAATTATTTAATTTTAAATATTATTTTAATACATTCTTAAATTCTCACTAACAACTAATTATACTATCATTTCCAAAATTAACTCTGGTTAACCAAAATAACTCCTTTTGGACGAATTATTTTGTAAACAAGCGAGCCCTTAGTTTTTCTCTTCATTGTTGAATAAAGGTAGTAAAAGTGAACATCTCAGCAGCTAGGAAGAAAATTTGGACCATCAAGACACTTGGAAAACCTAATCATTTTATCTGGAAATGCTTCACCAACACACTTCCTGTTAACCAGCTGGTACTATTGAGGCTCAAACACTTGGACCCTATTTGCAAATCATGTGGTGTTGAAGTAGAAACTCTTGAGCACACATTATTCCATTGTTGCAGAGCAAAGATTGTTTAGAAACTGGCAATTGTTTCATGGGACAAGTTTGACTATGACTCCTTCAACTTTAAACAGTGGTGGATTGAGATTAGCAGTCCCAGACATACTCCCTGCTTTGCCAACAGAATTGATCTCTCTGTGTTTGTTCTCTGGTAGCTTTGAAAAGGCAGAAATCTTTGGGGTTTCCAAAATTTCTGACTTTCTAAATATTCCATTGCCCAGTCTGCCCTCGCCTCATGGACTGAATTCTCTTTATGCTAATTTATAATCCTTTTTTTCCGCTGTGTTTGCTTTGCTTTGTACAATTTCCTTTGTAGTGATAGAGATGCTAGGTTTTCTAGTTAAGTGGCAGCCTATCTTTTTTGTTTAGTGCTAATCCTTGTTAGTACGGCTTCACAAGAGGACGAGTCGGGGTTTGTAGCCTCAGTCTATACCGATCCACAACTCTTAGTGAAGTTTGTATTTTCTTTCCTTGCTAGATCACTATTGTTAGTGTTTCCCTAATTCTGCTATGTTGCAGTTGTATTCGTTCAGTGTATAGATTTCCTTTCATGATATAATATCTATCGTTTGGAAAAAAAAAAATAAATGTAGTAAAAGTCAGAGGCGTAGTTACTCGTTCCGTCTATGGAGTGCCCAAGATGGGTCCAGCCCAACCAGCTCGCAACCAATGCCCCCAGGTTCGTGCCAGCGCCCATCCGCATGCTCCCAGTGCCAGTTGTCTAGCCCAGGCGTCCCAGCTTCCCAAGCCCGCGTCCAAGAGCTCCCAGTGCAACGCCCGCATCCCAGATTCACGCTTCCGCATGCCAGCGTCCCAGATCCGCACGCCCGCGTCCCAGATCCGCGCGCATTCGAGCTCCTGTGCCCAGCACCAGCCATATCCAGCGCGCCCAGTCCAGAACCGCCCAGATCCAGCCGCGCCAAGCCACAACAGCCCTTGGCCTTTTCCCATTTTCGGTTTGAGTTCATTTTTAAAGAAACATGGCTTGAACCTCGACTCCATTGGCTTAGACATGAATTATAGTTTATTTTAAAAATAATAAATCATGATTTGAGTGAGGAATGAATAGATCTAGATTTTATGAGCTTAAAGGCATGATTTTTATATCTTTGAGTTATATAAGTGATAAATTCGTGATTCCAACTCCATAAATCTTGTAAATTTGTCTTGAGGATGAGGTTAATATTTGGTGAATTTTGGAGATCGATTGCTAGGTGAACCGAATATGTGGATCTAGACCTATAATGCCCGATTTTAGTTGATTGAGTTAGAGGTTGAATCGTGCAGTGATATTTTAACCAAAAATCATATATATGTTGAGGTTGTTGTGGTTAAAATTTCGTGATTTTGGGAGATCGTTTGTTATAGTTTAAAAATCGGGACTTTAGCCTTGATTTGTGATATTTTCAGAAATTGTTTCGGATGAGGCTTAGCTGAAGTTGTTGGATCTAAAATCCTTATAAATCATGTTGAACATAAGGTTAATGTCTCGGCTTAAAATGAGTTAGGTTGCTCAGAGAACTGGAACCTTAGTTTCGCCCGTTTCTAAACACCGAGTAATTTTTAGATCCGAGCACAATCGGCCGAACCCGAGTAGCTTATAAATGACTTTAGACGTCATAAGGTTATTAATGAGTCTTTGGGTTGTCGGCCTCGTAGCGAGCGTAACCAACCAACCGACGTACATTAACACGTATTCTCAATGCGTATTGTCGTCCTGCACACGTGTCCCACTCTCGTCCCATCGTTGGAGCCAAGACACTTAGTGCGTGCCCGTGCACCGAGTCTGACCAGGCCGCACCCCTGCGCTCTGCCCAACGCCCGTGCGTCCGTCAAACCTACACGTCAACGTGTCGTTTTCATTAGCCGTGGCCCAAGCATG